AAACTTGGTAATTTTTTTCGTCGAAATTGTTTGAGGTATCACATTTAAATTAACACCACAGACAGCACATATCGTTACTATCTGCAGAATACAAATTAATGTATATATTATATAGTTATTTTCACGTTGAGGAATAAATTAACTCAGAGCAAAAGATTTCTAATACTGCTCAAATTCGGCACGTCATAAAAAAAAAAAAATTTATTTCACGTTTTTGGGACGTGTTTCTTTTAGCCTGTACACATTTTTGGTAGGAGAAAGTTGTTTCGTTGTGCTGGGCCTCTGAATATGCAAGAATACCGCACTTCCGGCGGATTCTTGATAGTTTTTTTTCTCCAGCTTTTTAACTTTTGCATTTATTGTTATGTTTATTTATTTATTAATTTTTCCAAAGGCACAGTTATTTAGGTCGAAAAGACATAGCTTCGAACTTCCGAACCCCTAAGCATGTGACGAGTAGTGCCTTCTGACAACGAGTTTCTAACAATGACCATCTACGCGAACTTTTATGCAGGGAAGAGCGACAGTAGCTATACATATGCATCAATAATTTCAGATTAAAATAAACTCGACCATGCCGTCTTTCTCCGTATTGTTTTCTTTAACAGTCTGAAATATCTGGGGGGGGGGGGGAAGACACTGGAGCCCCCCCTCCCCCCCCCCCCCCCCCCCCCCCCCCCCGTTTTTCTTCTTCCGGCGCTGCTGGTATGGTAGAACGCTCCTCGACCTCAAGTTGTGTCGGCTTCTGTGCTTTTTGCTCGGCGTTTCTTCCGTCTTGGAAAATAAACCTCGAAAACAATTACAAAGTTAAAATTGTAAAGGTGCAGGCGAGCTGGTGTACGTTGATCATGATACAAAATCCCGAGACTGGGAATGAAATTTGAAAGAAATAGTGTAAGAATAAAGAAAAAAGGGGACAGGACAAAGTCTCAAACTCAGTTGAGTTGAGTTTGAGACGTTATTCCTGAGCTGAGTTTTCAGCTGAGTTGAGTTTGAGACGTTGTCCTGAGCTGAGTTTGAGACGTTGTCCTGTCCCCTTTTTTCTGTCTTCTTACACTTTTTCTTTCCAATTTCATTCCCAGTCTCAGGATTTTGCATCATGTACAAACTAAACTTACTATATGCCAGCGTCACTCGGGCGGCGTTCCAGCGGATTACTACCACCGTGCAAGGGGGTGGGGAGGCAGTTTGCCAGATCGCTTCAAGGTTTTTCTGAGCCTCAAGTGACCCTCAACCACCTGCCTGCCCCTGGCCGTTTCGAACTGGATGAGTATCGATCGTTAAAGGGATTGTCCGGTCAAATTTTGTATTCAAGAAAACAATTGAATATCATTGTTATTGCCTGGAGACCCATCGTACGTGCAATATCTGAATGTTATATGCCCCTCTGCATGAGTAATTGCATTTATACTGCTGCAATCGCACTCTAGCGTAAATGCTGCTTTTGGTGGCAACATTGGAGCTCTGACGTCACACAACACAAAGCGAGCATTTCTGTTTCGTCGTTTACCTGCGAGTGAATGCCTCAGCGTGCTTCGTTTTTGTTGTTGTGCTCGACTTGTTTTGTGGTTGGGTGGGATTTTTGTTGCACAACCACCGGGCAGCACATGCGAGCAAAGACGTGACGTTCCGCACTTTTCTGCGAGACGTGCAGTGACGAGCAAAATGGACCGTCGCTGTGCGTGGGGACTGGGTTCCCGTCAAGATCGAGATGAAAATAATCCCTGGAGAAGGGGAACAAGAGGGACAAAGGACAAATATAAATCTCCAAACACAGCTAGGTGACTGGTGAGCGACCGGAAAAAATCCATAATTTAGATCGAGATCCCGCTTATGCAGCAATCATCTCAGAAAAGAGCTACGAGCTGAGCTCTAAGCAGACAAAAGGCTTGTATAGCTGAGGTGTGATGCTGTGCCAACGATATAAAACTACGTCCATCCGCTCCTCACCCAAATCGGATCAATCAATTTAATTATGCAGCGAAACCGAAACCAACAGCTATAGACCACCTGGAAACGATACCAGAAGCTGTATTTAGCACGCGTGCAGCCAAATTATGTTTGACCCGCATGTGGAAATAGAGCGTGAATACGATTCACCAACCTTGTCCAAGTCAAGTGACAACATGCATTTGAACGATTCGTCGTTTGCCTTCGACTCGCGGACATCGCCTCTGAGGGAACGACCGCAGGCTCATCACCGATCCAGTGGATCCGCAGAAATGCGTACCCAGATACCGCTTCGTGTACCTAGTTGCCGCTTCAGAGGCGAAATCTGCATCCTTTGCTTTGCAAGTGCTCCTAGTTCTATCGGTGGCCGTCGCAGTTGTGTTTGCGCGAAACGGCATACGTTTACTCGAAGCTTATGGCTGCTTACGAGTAATATCCTGCTAAAAGGCGTGACTTTTTTTCACGCGATTGGGAACTGCATTTAAAGAACCGTATTTCAGTAGGGTTCAGCCTAGGAGACTACAT